ACCAAATAATTTCGCATAGGGCCTATTCATCGAGGCGTGCCTCTAAAGTTTGTTCACTCTTTGTTCACATTGTTTATTCTCTGAGTACCATCTTTTATATCTTGCTTTGTCTGTCTAGGCCTACCTAGCCTATCATTTCAATTCATTCATGTCATGCTCTGTAGTGCCAGCGTCTCCTCTTTGCTATCATCAACTGAGGCTCTTTACTACCATCGGTCTCCAGCGACTGATAGGGGACTAGACTGTGTTGTTGTGTTGTCCGAATGTGTTGGATTTCTCTCAGGTTCTTACGCTTTCTTTTTAACTTAGGCTTAATTTTGTTTCGTCATATCATTTTTGGTCATCGTGTTCATTGTGCCAGATATATATACAGTGTGTATATATAAATATATATATATATATATATATATATATATATATACAGTATATATATATATATATACAGATATATAAGGTTGCTCTTTATATGTATGTATTAAACTACACATATATGTATATAATAATAATAATAATAATTATTATTATTATTATTTATATAAACGATTTATAAATATAGTAGGCCCGTATAAATGTATACCATTATTATTATTATTATTAATCTTAGTATTGATGTTTTTGTTAAAAAGTTAGATAACTATTTTTCTTAATAGTCCTGTCAGAGTTTTCCTATCCTTTCTTGTCATTATTCGATTCGCAACAACTCACATGATTCGTCGTCTTGGGTATGTTTGACAAGTGAATAACAACCAAATGTTTATAATCGTTCAAGTATGATAGAGGAAAATTCAACAAATTTCACTTCCTTCCAATTAAAGACAATTTTGTTCAAATTAATTTCAGACGACTTATATCACGCAGGTAATCGGATCGAGCCAGCTTGTTTTTCTACTGGGTGTGCACTATTATTGAAGGGGTGGCAGGTGAGAGTAGGGCCTATACACAATTTGGATAAACAAGCAAACTTTCTTTTATAGACGCATGTTAACACGTCCTTTCCTAACTCACATGATGAACTCTCAAATTACCAACTCAACGCTTTCCATTCCGTGTTGTGTAGCAATATAATTTGCACAGATAGGCCTAATGGACGAAATGAATGGACACGTAGGCATGGATAATACTATCATCGGGAATATGTCGGTAGACGGAGGTGAGCACAGTAACATGAACATGAACAGTAATAATATGGACGGTTCTGGTCATGCGGTACGTATTTTTTTTATATTATTTATCATTCCGGAATAGCTTTCTAGTCAATTCTCATTCCATCATTGTTTTCGATGGGGTTTACAGTTTTTTTTTTCGTAAGAGATGGGAAGGGATGCATTTTAAATTCAGAGGGGTGTTTGAGGAAAGGGCCTTCCTGAAAATATTCGGAAAATAGTTATTTGTAGGTGGCCCAAAACGTCAACTTGACTTTTGTTTTCATTGTCATCACTTTCACCAATATATTTGTTATGGAACAACGTGCTACACCATTTCACAATGATACATCCTGTCTCTTATACACATCTAGATGTCCCATTTGTGGAAAAATAGACCTCCCTTTAAAAATCCTGTCTGGTGGCTTGAGCTATGTCCATCAGTCACATCTAGGATGCGATTTTTCCCCTACAATTCAACATTTTAGAGACTGTTCTTGTCAAACATTTTTTAATACAAAAAACAAGTATCATGCACATTATATTAAGCCATTATGGTTTATATTAACTCTGATCTATGCGTTAATGTCAATTTTACTGTTTTTGTCACGTGCACTAAATCGAACCTATTAGCACTCATCACGATTATTTTTAGGACTGTACGGTAATTTTCATCTCATTTGTTCAATGTCAAGTAAAATATATTAGTCATAATAAATGCTCATCGACATAACATATCGTCGCTAAAACGCGATCCAGTTATATGTTGACGTGTCAGATTTTAACCTGAGTTCACACAAGGAGCGTGTGATGATACGGATTTTTTTTAATTTGAGGTATGGGAAGTCCAGTGGGTGGGATAACATTTATGTTTACGTCACCATATGGTAATTGCTCAGTGTGTTATTTGCATTAAAGGAAAACCTAATAAAAATTAAACTTCTTTTCACAATAAGGAAGTAAGATATAATTAGGCAATGAAGACGGGTTAGACTTTAAACAAATCAAGAGAAATACGTTCTTGGTTTCAAAACACCACAATCAATCTACTATTGTAGGCTGTATTACAGGTTAGGCCTACTACCCGCGACACGACAGACCGAATGCAGAAGGACGAACTATAAGCACGTGCATCTTCTATTTATAACTTACCCTTCATAATGTACCGGTACACTTTCTCATTGTTTTCAGTCGGCGTTCTACTTTTCGGTAGACATCCCTGTTTACTTATTCAAAAACTGGAAAATTGATACCACCACAGGTAAGGCGTAATGATGTCATAATCACGTCATCGTGACGTCATCATAAATATTTTAGCAGACGTGCGTTTAATTAATATAAATTCATAGCAAAATTTAAAATCTAGTCTAGAAAATATTCTTGATAAATTCTTATTTCAAGAAATATTTTCTTGATAAATTCTTATTTCAAGAAATATTTTCTTGATAAATTCTTATTTCAAGAAATATTTTCTTAATAAATTCTTATTTCAAGAAATATTTTCTAAAATTAAGAAAAAAAATACTTGTTTTAAGCTTAAAATCAGAAAGTCACTACCGTATGGTGAGAAATTTTTTTCTTTTCTCACCATACTGACTTTCTGATTTTAAGCAAAATATTACTTAAAACAAGTTTTTTTCCCTTAATTTTAGAAAGTATTTCTTGACATTAGAATTTATCAAGAAAATATTTTTGAAATAAGAATTTATCAAAAATATTTTCTAGACTAGATTTTAAATTGCTGTGTTAACAGCGTGCAATCATGAGCCGCCACATATTTCTTGATTGCTGGTTTTGCTGTCTTTTCAACAATTTAAAATAAGCCTATATGAATAGTGCATTGCAGTGGTCAGTAATTTTGGTCCAGGGGATAAGTTTTTTGTCCTTATTCCCCAAGTTACAATGTGTGCGTATATATATATATATATATATATATATATAT